ATCATCACATAAATTGTTAAAATAATCTGCTTGTTCTCGTGCAGCTTAAATTGTAAATCATATTCTTATCAATTTTTAATCTAATAGGCTAATGTCTATCAACACATGAAAGGTCTCGTATAACTATTTCATACTGCAATACTGTAAAACTATTATGAGAAAGATCCTGGCTCATATCTTCATTAGAATTGCAGATTGAGTTGGCGCAAAATACATAAATAAACTCACAGCCTTTTGTTTTGTAGGCGTAGTCTTGATACTGAACTGAGATGCGCAATAATGTTTGTGACTACAGAAGTGAGAATAGTTTAGTATGGGCTACAATAGCATGTAGAGTTTCTACACATGACCGGAGTATTCAGTAGTATGGATAGGTGCAACATTTGTCTGCCAGCTTAGAAATGGATGCTTGTGTAGTATATAGAGGGCCATATTTATGGCAATGCCTGCTTTTTGCTATTTCTCAATGAAAGGAAGAGGTGTACTGTGTTTTATTGGACGAGCTAGTAGCCAAGAATTTCGTAAACAATTCTCAGATATATTTATTCAATATGACCACCCTTATTTTTAATGACGACCTCCAATCTACGCGGGAAAGCATCACATGAGACACGCAGCATTTTTTAAGGGATCAAGTCCCATTCTCGTGTCAATTTAGACTTCAAACTATCCAAAGAATCATGAGGTGTTCTGCAGACCCTACTCTCTAAAATAGCCCACACAGAAAAGTCGAGAGTATTCAAATTAGGACGTATTAAGGGTCATTCATTGTTGCTAATGAACGCTGGGATGTGACCCTGAATCTAGTTTTGGGTCATGTTTGAACCATGTGATGGGGCAGAGTCTTGTTGAAAACTTAATGGTGAGCCGTTGAAGTGTTTACGGGCCCAAGGTAACAACACAGCTTCCAAAATGTCCGAAATGTATCGCTGACTGTTCAATTTCACTTCTGAGGGGACAAAAACGAGTGGGGACCTCCCAGTGGCGGTTACCGCGGCCCAAACCATCACGGACATGGGATTTTGACGTCGTGTTGCTGTTCTGGTTGCCACAGATCCATCCCGACTCCAAACTCTTTCATTTTGACGGTTAACGCTTTGTTCAATGTCAAATTTTTTCTCGTCACTGAACACCAAGTTGGGTAGCGTGCCATTCTCAATGAGATCCAGAATGTGCTGGCATCTTTCGAGCCTCATTCGTTCATGACGGTCTGTTAGTTCATGCCTTGTTTGCATCTTGTAAGGGGAGTTTTTGAGGTCATCTTTGAGGACTCTACGCATTGATGTCTGACTGACTTCTGCTTCTGCAGCCAATTTTGCAGCTGAGCGACGAGGGTTTCTAGTCAACTTCTCCCTCAGTTTCCTTGAATTTTTTTACCACCTCCTATACAGTTTCACGACGAATTTGGAGCTTTTTAGCAATGACTGAATTACTCTCTCCCTTTTCATGAAATGTTACTATTGCATTTCTATCTACTGCATAAGTAACAGTAAATTCAGACTCCTTAGACTTTTGCAATATAAAATAGACGAATTAATAGATGATATAAAGCTTAATTATAAAAGAAAAGTCTACTAGAAACCAATTCATTTTTATATAGCAAACATCCGTTGCCATAAATATGATGGACCCTGTATTATTTTGGTATCCTGCGCGCCCTTGAGCGCGTAGGGCTTACGGAGGAGATTGATGTAGCGTAGTCAGCACGATGATGGATTAACATATTTCGGAACTGCACAATAATCAAATTGGTTGATTAGGCAAAGTTTGAGGATCACTAGCTGATGCCCTCAGCACTCGCCTGTTGATGAGGCGTCCTTGTCCGACAGCCGCGGACATTTTGATCGCTAGGTCATGTAGAAGCATTAAACATTTGTTCAAACAGAGGATGTTTTTCTTTGCTGAAAACATTGAATAACACATGAAGAGAAGTTTCCTATTATATAAAGAGCGCTGGACCAATGTCTATTTTAGTTGATTCTTCGCAAGTAGTATTTAAATTATATTATAAAATAAAATTTGCAACATGACAGCTGCTCACAGATAAGCAGATTATTTCCCAAAACTTAATAATAATCTTCCATTACTTAAGGCCATGAATGCAGTTAATGCTGCAAAGTGGTCGCGAACTTGTAAGTGAATATTGCAATATCGTTAGACTGGGCCCTGGAGTAGTTGACATATAATCAATAACTGAATGTAATCTTGAAAAATTCCCACATCCTCGTGTTGAACTATTTATACCAAGTGAGTTTTCACGGAAATTAATATTAAATATCAACTACTTGCTGATATACTTATTCTAATGTAGTTAATGAATTAAATCTTAATATTTCTTTTAACACGAATAAATAAAATCTAGAGAGATACAAATTTATGCCGCACCGGGAAATTTTTAATTTCGAATCTAATGTCCTCGACAATGGAGAAACTGCCACATTTTTTGTCCATGACACAATACTGCCACTGCGTTCGACATCCAAAAGTTTACGATGGCTCTCCCTATACAACTTGGCTATTACTTAAATTTCAGCGTTGCTCTCAGCTTACTGCATTTCGACTGCACATGAAAGACAAGGAAATAACTCGTGTATAACTACTGAACACCACCAGCTTAGTAGGATATGTCCATATATTGCATCTATTTCTCATATGAATGAGAAGAAAGCCATTCATGAATAGCTATTGAGTTTTAACTACCGAGTTTTCTGTAACGAGAGACGCCGATTTGAAGTTGTAGAACCCACTGGCTTCAAGAGGATTTAGAGTTCAGACTTAAAATAAATCAGATCCAAGAGAGAGGCGATGAACTTCGAATGATTTATAATGTGTGAGTTATTCACAGCTCTCTAATCACTTATTTTTAGTTGAAATAGTTTCTTTACATCTCGCGAACCCTCAACGTCATACGGTGTAGAGGAAATTCATCCGGCATGGCAACAGCGGCCAATCTTGATTGGTGCACAGCGCCACGACAGAAGTTACGCAGCCAATAAGTACACTTAGGAAGTTAGGTAACCTTAGTCATTAGCTCGTTGAAACTCGTGGGAGGTGGAACGCGCGTTTCTTGCTTCCACTCTCGGATACGCTGTAATTAAGCTTAGTTCTAACTTCGATATGAATTCCCTTGGGCTGGATTAACGCTGATGATAGTATTTTATTTCGACCAATCAACTAGGTTCTCTTGCTAGTTCTAAATATGCTAACCTTGGCTCCTTATCACATGCTTGCCAATTGAGTGCCAATAACCATAAATCGGTGATTGTTGACCCCCGTGCTCATTGCTACAGATAGACCCCCTGACTGGCCACCAAGGGGCTACTCATCCACGAGTAACACGTACTGGCTCCATATCCACATCCTCGCCCTCTTCCTCCTACCCTGGCGCTTTAAGCTTAGAACTCAGCCACACCTTGCATCCTGGAGGAACCTTGCATCCTGGTGGATCCTTGCATCCCGGTGCAACCTTGCATCCCGGTTGCAAGGTTGCACCGGGTTGCAAAATCGCCCGGTTGCTACCCCGGAGATTTTGCTACCTCTGCTGTTCAAGGGCACCTGTAACCTGGCCTCCTTTACTTTTCCTTCTTGATTCCTATTGTTTATTAAATTTTAAGTAATGATACGCGTGTTTCTATTTGCATCCCGTAGCGAGGTTCGGTTGATTTAGTGCGACTGCGGCGGATTCCTTGGCTGAACTAACCCAGGACCGTAATTTAAATTTTCCAGCTTCTCTGGACTACGGTTGGAGTAGTGGTCCCGAATTCCTTTACATACGGGATCGTACCGTAATCTGCTGGAAATATCGGATCATCCTACTGGTAATACACAAGAAGACTTTGCTATCACTACTCAATTCAAGTCGCCTCTCTAACCTATTCAATAATTTGTACCTGCCTTTTACTCAATGGTAATGATCTACAAATAAAAAATTCATGACGTGTCGACTTACAGACCCTGGGTTTAAACACTTGTTAATTCAAGACTTATCCATCCGCCACCGGCTTAACGCTTGACTAGAGCTAGAGGATAAAGATAGCATGGATGCCATTAGTTAATATTCTAATGAGATGATCTTACCGCAATGAATTGTCAAGACAACTGAAGATGATGAGGGGACAGAAGCATTGTCTGAATTGAAATAAAGGCCTCATGCAGGGAAAAACAGTCAAATGTTACATTTACATGCATTAAAACTTCTTAATTCACATCACATTACTGTTTACAAATTGTTGGCTTTTAATGGCAGCCCATAAATTTCGTGCGTATCCTACCGCGCGATCATGTTCTTCAAAATGTGTCTCGTTAAACCATTTTTTTCGTGTGCACTACACTGAAAGAAGTCTGCGCTTTAAGCGTAGACAGCTAACGTGGCTAAATGGCCGAAACTAAATCAACTAATCCTAAAATGGTCGTTATACTTGTCCAAAAATGGTCGTATCTGTTCATCAATGTTCGTACGATGTTTTCGTCTAATATTGATAAAACTTTTGCTCGGGCGAAGCCACCTCGAGGATACGTCATTGCGGGATATAAAAATAAACTCTGAATTTGCCACAAAGTTTTAATTTAACATTATTTCTGGCCGAAATATCATCGTTATGATAATGATAATATAATAAGTCGAAAATATCATGTAATAGTGATTACACGCAGGTACGACTTTCACGTGCTTTTTAGTTTTCATCGTTGGTTTTAGCTGCCTTATTACCCTTGTCAGTGCCGTGATGCTCCCCATACAAGTGCTTATATTTACTCGCAAATAGTGGACTGAATTACGCGCTCCGGCTGCTTGAGTGGTGTTTTAAACGCCAGTGGCAACTCATTTTGGGACAATTGGGATAGACACTTTGGTGCGTTTTGTTACGCAGCGATTTATTTGAGTGTACGACATTAGTGGCCCGTAGGTCGACGTAAATTCATTCCAGAAAAAGTGTCCACCACTGACATGAGCAACTTTCAAATCAATTTTTAGAGTGGACGACATCGTAAAAATGGGCCCAAAAACCGCAAGGTTTGAAAAATTTACACTAACAGAAAAAATAAGCTAACCAACGTCAGCCAGCGGCGGATGAATGACGTTAGTTTATCAAATCCAATTTTTGCCGACTTCAGTCAGGCCGTGGTATTGAAAAAGAATCTATCAGCCATGGCAGGGGCCAGAGAAATTGCGCTTCAATGTCAATGCGAAAAGGGTTGCCCGGCCGAAAGACAAGGCTATAGCAGTCTAGTCGGACCTATACATTAAGAGTGGTTTTGAGATCGCAAAGTGTGCAAAACTACTGTACATGAGTGATGAGTGGACTGAAATGTTAGTAATTACCAGTTCGTCCTTTCTGGACACAGTTACTTTTTAATGACAACATAATGGAAAGATAGTATAATGCATTCAAGTAAGTAGCCATTTTATTCCAGCTAGAACCGCGTCTCTGAATCGGCCATCATCTCAATTTGTTAGTATTAATCATCCGGAGATTAAAGCTACTAGTTACTGATAACTTAGCCTGCAGTGCACACATCATCCGGACATCACTGCAGTGCACACATCATCCGGACATCACTGCAGTGCACACACAGACCATGAAGGAATTGTGCACGCCCGGTCCCCAAGGTAAGGGGCTCCGTTAACGAACAAGAGAAATGCACAGTCTGAGTTATCGTTGGGCTCGAGCGGTCCCCAAAGTCCTGAACCAGGCAAGCCGGACATGACTTGGCCGGTGCGCCAAGTCCACACGAGGTTGTTGCGGTGAAGCCCCACGAAGCACCAACCACCAGACCAACCCTCTGTCATGAAAGAGAAGGCACTTTAAAATGGTTAAGAGAGCTTTACAATTGAAGTCATATTCAGATGAATATTTCGATTTGAATGCGAACTATCGGCTAAATCTCCGGAACACTATTGAATTAGAGCACATACAAAAATTATTACAAATTTTCGTTTTATTTATGGTGGAGCTGCATTCGTCCATCCTTGTTATTCATACTTTTAACATAAAAAATATCATTTACTCGGCACGAATGACTTTTGGTACACGTAGGCAGCGAGCTTGAAGAAGTTGTCGCTGTAGAGAGAGACGAGCTGGGAGCCTCCTGGGCACGAGGTCTTGGCGACGTCGTACGGCCGGTTTGTCTCAACCACAGCCACACAACCGACGTCTGGAACCCAGTCGAAAGGGGCCGGGCAGGGTGGAGCTGATTGTAAGGAATCGTAATTAGCAAAGTACGGAAAAAAATTAACCAATAGTACTAATTAAACAATTAATTAGTGTAATTTTGCAGCACCTTATCTAAATCTTTTTACTATTTGTGTATCAAAGTTTCAGCAATAGTTGGATCAGATTGTTTGGAATGATTATAATTTATTTTAGTGTAATACCACTGAGATCCAGCATTTCAGGTGGACATGGCAGAGCAATAAATTACTCACCTGATTAAGCAAGCAGAAAGGAAGAAATTCTCAAAAACACCGATGTCTACGTAACTTACTCAGACCTCCAATGCTAGGAAAAGTATTCCGAACGTGGCAGCTGTAGTCGCTGGAACCCGAAACAGTTCGGTTGAACAAGGCCGGGTACGTGGAGTTCAGCAGGCACTGCCCGCTGGTGCTGTGCACGCACAGAGTTGGGTAGGTGATGCCGTCCAGAGCAGCCCGGAGTGCGCAGAGGACGTCGTTCACGCCAGAGTAGTTCTTGGATGCCACGCCAAGTGCGAGGAGCGTCTCTACCGGCACTGGGGCCGAGGTGTACCTACTAGAACTCCCCAGAGTTTCCTTCACCACAGCAAGCAAGGTGAACACTAGCAGTTTAATGGTCATTATGCTAACAATTTCCATTATCAACGAAGACTTTATCTGAAACGAAGGGAGGTTGATCGACATTAGAATTTTAACATCAATCATTAATTTTTGGCAAGTTCAACATATTAATGTCTAAAACGATGCAACCCATGTACATATGACGTGACCATATACAGCGGCGTAGCCGACTTCTGCCGGTCGCGCATATAACCTTCATTTGTGTTGTTGAAGTTGGCCTAGCCGGTAACGGTTCCGGACGCTTCCTTAGATTTAGAGGCTTTACTTTAAGTGAATATATTTGACTATATTGAACCTGGAAATTCAAACTTTAGTTTATTTGCATACAAATAGTTCTTTGATGGGAACAGCACAATACAATTTGATCATGTGTCTGGTCGAGACTGCTCATATGGTCTCATTTTATTTACAGCCAAACAGATAGCGACCTGTTCACGTGTGTTTAGATACTTCATGACTATTCCTATTCAAGCTTAACTGTTCGCGTCCGAGCATTGAACTTGGCGGTACTTTGCTTGACGTCTGTCGTCTTATCATCCGACGTCTGTCGTCCTGTCATCCGACGTGTGCCGAACTGCCATCCGACGTCTGTCGTCCTTGATGGGGCTATCTGCCCTGGAGTGGGGCTAGCTACCCTGGAGTGGGGCTATCTGCCCTGGAGTGGGGCTATCTGCCCTGTAGTGGGACTTTCTGCCCTGGAGTGGGGCTATCTGCCCTGGAGTGGTGCTCTCCGCCCCGGTGTGGTCTCTACTTTGGTGGCCCCGTTCTGCAGCCCTTCAGCCATTGAGAATTCTTGAGTTTTTTTTTTCAAGACACCCAATCTTGTTCATGAAAACATAATTCGGGCAAGTTCCTTCAACTGTTCTGACATGGGGCCGCATTGAACCAGTCTTCAGAGGCTCCCATAAATTCCAATTAAAGAAAGAAGATTACGCTTGCATGCTTTGCGCAAACCCCAGTTCGACAACGGTCATAGATCTGGCTTCCAAAGCGCCAGAACACCTCCATACCATTGCTGAAGAACAATCTGCTTAACTGTAAGTCAAGTTAGAGGGCACTACATTGACTGGAGTGTTAACACGCTCCTTCATCATGTACTTAGATGGAGGTCGAGAATACCTCAATTTCGATTGTCCTCCAACACAATTAAAGAACTTTTCCTTCGCCATCAAGCTTACTGAAGACTGTTCACTGAAAATTATAATATTTAAGTTCAAGTTCCTCATAACACCACTACTATCTGAATTAGGACCCGAACAGTGATGCCAGTCTAAATCCGCAGCCAACCGGAAGTCCACATAAAAAACGTAACGATTTTGTGATCGAAACGATACTTACTGGCCTAAGATAGAAACCATTTGCCATTGCAAAGGGTAAGAAGGACAACTTCATTGTTATAAAGAACATCGCAACAACACACGATGAGTACTTTAGAACTGCCTTCTACTGTCTCTCCAATCTACCAAAAATTCTGCGCAAGTTAAAGCTGGGGACTTGGTGCAAGTCCAGCAGAATGGCACTGGCTGCATGCATTGGGTCGGCATTGCGCGGTATTGCAGCTGAAGTTCAAAGTGATTCTATTAATTCCGTTTCAGCTTTATGAGAATTAATGGGCTTTTTGTTCTGGCCGACTTTTTAGAGTAATAGTTGTAAGGTTTCGTGCAAAATTATATCTTTTACCGTTTGCATTTGCTCAAGAAAGAAATTGTGCATGTAACGAGAATGCAAAAAGGAGTGTAAAGCATAATGGATGGCTATTCCCGAGCTGTGTGACGTTGCCTAAAAACGGAACATCGTAAGGTAGACAACCAGCAGCACTAGCGGGATGGACAATTTGCAGAACGCGATTCTTGCTCGTTCTATCCAAATTGCACTCGCCAGTTACCGCATTTACCTCATTGAATTCTTTTGACAGCAAAATAGCGTCTGAACTGTCTACGTATGTCCAAAATTGCCGAGATACTGACAATTCATCGGAGAAATCTTTGTCTTTAATGAACTCAAAACTCTCAACGAAGTCACTGTAAAGAATGGGATTTCGGATTTCAGCATCACTGAGAGCTTGGTGCACATCCGGCCGATTTTGTAGGGTGAAGCCCATCGAATGTATTTTTTTCTGAGTAAAAGTGACTGATGGACGGACCAGGAGTCAACGAAAATGAGGAGGCACCCAATTAATTACCAGGTTATTTCAGAACAACACTGCTCGAATCCATGGCGTTGCTTCTACCATTACGCATGAGATTAGGTACAACCGCGGCTGGAGCCACGGCATCATGCAGGCGCCAATTGCGATTATTTCCGGAGTACAGGGTTTTTTTTTTATATGTAGAAACTTTTTAGGATCGTCACAATGTTTTTTTCGTAGGACACGTAATTATTGAGAGACCCTGCTCATCATCGACAATCAAGATAGACCCAGTCATCTAATCTAAATCCTCTTTTAACATTGGCCAATCCGGCCTGCGGCCATCAAAAAAGTGAAGATTCGCCTTGAAAAGAGTAGGAGAACGACATATCAATCTAAGATATTTTATTCATGCAACACATGAGTCAAATTCTTGTCTTCCTCGCTTTCGGGATGCAAATTGCACACTTGAGGACAGATAGCCGTTGGGAAAGGAAATCTGTCCATAACAGCAACCAGCTTAATTTCCCAATAGAAATTATTCTATTTCGCGGCGGAACTCTCGTACGTGACTGATAAAATCTAAAAAATTGGTGGGAGCCTTCCACTCTGCAGAAAGTTCATGATCTCCCAACGTAAGTACCTAGCAATAATTAAATCAATTTCCTGTAGCCGCAGTCAGGAGGTGGCTTAGTTAGCATTGTGAAGATAACCGCTGGCCAAGCAATGGACCACTTCAAATTGTTTGACCTGTTACTGCTAGGCGTTAGATACTTGGCACAGCACTGTCATGCGCTGCATGCTTCGCGCAAGGTATCAGAATCTCCATAAGAGCGCCCCACAAAATTAGCACGAAGCGACTGAAATTCGAATTCATAGTCGGCACTGTTGACTCTCTGACAAGCACCCTAGGCGCGACCTCAACAACTTCAGGAAGTGGATCGTTTGAAGCGACTGGTCTGCCGTCTAAATCGGCTGGCAATTCAAGCTTTCGCTTTTTTTATCTAGGACCTTGTGTGCCACGTGTGCGAGCGTTATGTCCTGGAACACAAAATCGACTACATTTTTGAACACGAACCGGTACTGCGGCCTGATCAATTAACTCGTTGTCCGGCAAAAGTGTGGACGCCGCTGGGGGTTGCGATACAGACACTACTGCGATACTATCCAATTCATCGAATTCACTATCGAGAACATCGATAGTGAATCGACTCCAACTTCGAATGCTCGAAGTTGGAGTCGCTGTAGCTAACTCATAAGAAATCTGGATAGGGAGTTCAACGCCACGAGCAAATAATGATCGAAGGATTGCGCGGCAATACTTCCGGTTCATTGCAGTCGGCAAGCGTATGCCCGAACTCATTAGCTCGTAAATGCGTACATCGTCGCTTATAAGCCACATCAGTATAATAGAAATCTGATTACATGTAAAAAAATCGTAGATAAACACGCTAACAATCGACAGTCTAAAATAATGTGGGAAATTTTTACCACCACTAATAATTTTTGTAGTCGTTTGTAAATTTTTTGGCTATATGTCGTTTTCTGTTCATGTTGCATTCACAGTTTTTTTGTATTCAGTATAGTTTGGTAGGTTAATTAGGTAGCAGTATCCGCTAGGATAGGATTCCTTTCTAAGCATCCATACCGTTCAGAGGTCCGATCTCGTAACGTGCCTTACCTCAAACGCAGCTAGTTCTCAATTATTCAATTCTGTACAATATTCACTTCACTTTAGCCAGCACTGCAACAGGAGTTACTGCTATTCTAAATGTCTTCCTGGTTACTGTTTCACTATTTTTTTGTTGTGTGAATGTTGCTTTGTTTCCAATTAATTATTTACGCTCTATGTACAATTTTTTTCTATGGTACTCTAGGACAAATCAATATTCAATTATTGATATCACAATTTTCGAATTAGCTACGTGGTCTCTGATATTAGCAGAGGAACTTATTTCCTTTGCTGTGACCCACGTTTCATCATCTTCAATTTTCCAACATCAAAATCTCAAACTTTCCATTTCTATTTTTCCGTCTGGAGTATACTTCCATTAACTGATTTCCTCTATATTTCTAATTTGCCTCTTACTCACTGCATTAAGCACTGAAATGCACCAAAATCTTAGGTTTGTCAATTTAGTTATTTGTTGCTTATTAATTGATTCATAATTTAGAATTGTTTGTTACATAGGTAGTATCTGTTCAATTAATTGTTTAGTAAGTAGTAAAATTTTCCTTTCAGTATCTGCATGGGACTCGTCGGGGCAACCGCCTTCAAGGAACTTTATACAGCTGCAAACGAAATTATTTCATTGAACCGCCGTTCTTCTACTACAGCATTTAAACTTTTCTCTTATACACATCTAGATGTGTATAAGAGACAGGTTGTAAGGTTTCGTGCANAGGCTCATTTTCCAACGCTGCGTTGGAGGCCGTTCTAGAATGAAGAAACGGTTGCCGTGTGGGAAGTTTCTATACTCCGCGGCACTGCAGGCGTTATAAGTCTGCAATATGAATGACTTTTTAAGAAAGAAGTCCTACGTAGTAACATCTCAATATAACTATTATGAAGATTATGCTGCAAAGAGTAACGTAATTTCGGGACTCGAAATTTTCGAGTCCCGAAATTCTCTGTTACAAATGGGCAGATTTTATTTGATGGGGGATAATCAATCTTTGTAAAAGTGAAACGCTACTGCAAGTGTAAATGCAAGTACCGAGACAAACCGATAATTTATATGATTACGAATAAGATATGTTATAATAAAATGAATAATAAATTTTTAAATAAAGTATATATGAATTATTGAAATCAATATTTATTACAGAAGATCAAATTTAGATAGCGTATTCCAGCTTTTCATTGTATGCA